GAGAGAAAGCCTCCAAAAAACTAGTTTTTGGTGATTTCTTTAGGATTGAAGGGTTTCTCAAAGTTGACAAAATTGGATCAAAACATCACCTATTGATATTAGACTTAATTTTTGATGTTTTATAAATCGATTGGGGTGTTTTTTAAAAGATTTTTAATCCTTAGAAGAATCTTTGAGGTGAAAGTTTGAAACTGAGAAATCAAACTCAAAGTGAGTGCCCAAAATACCTAATTTTTATTTTTTATACTATATATCCTTTTTTTATTCTGGGCTGCCCAAGTTCTGGGCACCCGCTTGGGTGCCCGCCTAGGACCCACCTAGCGCTTTTTGAAACATTGTTACACTACTAGACATATCTTATGTGATTAGTGTAGTTAGGCAATTTATTGATGCCCCTCTGAAAGTTCATTTAGATGTTGTCCACTGTATCTTGAAGTATCTCAAATCATCTCCTTGTACAGTCATCGTTTACTAATCACAGTCATATAGGTGTTGCAATCTACACTAACGCAGATTGGGCTAGTATAGAGACTGGTAAAAGGTCAACTATAGGTTATTGTACCTTTGTTGCAGGGAATCTGGCTTCATGGAAGAGTAAACAACAAAATGTGGTGGCCAAATCAATTGCTAAAGCTAAATACAAGGCCATGGCACATGGAGCATATGAAGTGAAGTGAAGTGGACGAAAACTATATTGGCTGAAGTGGTAGTTAAAGCTCAATCATCTATGACAATGAGGCTGCCATTCACATTGCTAAGAACCCATATCTCATGAGATAATAAAACAAATCGAGGTAGACTGCCATTTCATAAAGGAAAAAATTGCAGCCAGAATTACTTGTAATCATGTGAAATCAGGAGATCAACCAGCAAATATCTTCATTGAAGTAGTTGTCAGTGATAGACTGGATGATATAGTTTTCCAGCTGAGCACGACTGATATCTATCTTTCAGCATGAGGGGGAGTGTTGAAGTAAGTTAGGCACACAAATGGAACAATTCATTCTAAAGGGTTATGTGTGAGTTATCTCTCTCTCCCTCACTCTCTCTCTCTCTCTCTCATATCTTCCCTCGATATTTTATTCCTCTTCCTCTATCAAATACTTGACATTAAGGGTCCATTTGGATACCTAGAAATCTATTATATGACAATAGATTATAAAGAAATAAAACATTTCCACAGTTTGGTACACTTTAATAGTAAGGAAATGGAAAGACATTACCCGAGATTTCTCCAAAAATCACGAAATCCATTACGCGTGGTGAGGGGTGAAAAATCTATTACGTGCCTTGATGGGTAATCTTTGGAAAATCTTTTGCGCACATCTCTCTCTACTCTATCCCCGCATAAAAAAATATCTATGGGAAACCTTTGCCCCCTCTCTCTCTTGAGTCCTAATAACTGGTTTGCATAAGGTGATCCCTCTCTCTTTAAGCCCGCTTCTCTCATCTGGACTTTTTCCTTTCACCTGCTAACTTGAAGTGAGAGAAGTAGAGAGTCGCTGCTGCTAACCTAAAGAGAGAGAGGTAGAAGAGTTCTGGTAAGCCCTACACAAGCATAATAAAAAATTCCACACAACATAATCTTCATAAGAGATTAGTAAAAGCTCAATTGAAATAAGATACATTATTAGTCTCCTCCAATGCCTCAAACTTTTCTACGGCAATTACCAAACCTTCTAGTTTATTAATCAAACTTCTTCTCATTTCTTAACTTGTACTATAAAATTTTTTAATTTGGTATCATAAATTTAATGTTTATTTGAAATTATATATAGAGACATTTAAAAGACTTCTATAATAAATAAATAAAAATAAAGCTTATCACATTAAAATCATGTTATTCCAATCATATTATTCCGATGACGTATCATGTTGTCTAATCATGTTAGAAGACATGTGATTCTATGTCATGCAAAATAAGTAGGAAATAGTGTCATCATGACTTTAGAATGGTACAAGTTATTATTAGAAAATCTTTTTGGAATGGTGATGATGTTATTATTAGAAAATCTTTTTGAAATGGTGTGATGATGACTTTAATTCCGCATTTCAGTGGAATTTTGTAACAAAAAGAAAGAAATGATAGTTTATAGGCAAGTGCTGGTAAAATATTGTTAATGCATTTCCCATATTTCTTCCAGACATAATCAAACAGTGACAATGTATTTTCCAGGTTGCATCTAAATACTATGCAAACGGTAACAATCCATTTGCAAGTAATGTATTACGCAATAATGTAAAGTAATATATTTCCCAGACAATATATTTCCAACTATCCAAACGGCCTAAGTGTAGATCCAAATTATATGAATGTACGAATAGGGTGCTATGAGACTTTGAAAGATGTTTTGGATTTTTTCAATAAAATTGATGTACAGAAAGTAGGGTTCATTCTTATTGAGGAGAGGGCAGGAGGGGAGGGGGGGAGAACGGAAGGATGGCAGCTTTCTCACAGCAATGCCATAAATGTAATTTTGCGTGTGTGTGTGTGTGTGTATATATATATATATCCTAAATAAGAAAATTATTCAAAAATCAAAACATGTAATTTCCTAATTTTCTCACAACCATGCCATAAATGTAATTTTGTGTAGATTTATGGATAATTTAATCATTTCAAAAATCAAAACATGCAATTATCCAAATGTAGCGCCATTTTAAAACTTTTTTATTTAACAATTTCTTAATTTAGGCTGATTGGGCAAACCCCACCATAGTTATTGGGATCTCCCAAGAAGGGGGTCACTCCAATTCCGGGACAAGGGACTTCTATTTCAGACATTTTCTTGATTTAGGGATCTTGGCCCACAAAATTGGGGATCTAGATCCCTCTCACGCAAATCATGGTTCCATGAGTCACTGGAATCGAGCCTCCGCAACGTGGAATCAAGTTTCTTTTACATCAGTATCAAATATTACCAGCACATTTTAAGCCTCATGCAGTGACCCCCCTCTCTTCCCCCACCAATCCTCTCTCTTAACTCCTTTAGCCCATAATATCTCTCTCTCTCTC